TGCTACTTTCTTCATGAATGACAAATATCATTGGTGTTATTCAGACTGAGAAGGACCGTCTCCATTATAAAGCCACACTAATAAAAAAGAGCATTAGTGAAAGCAATGGAAAACATGAGAGCAATACCAAGAGGAAGCAAGAACGAATGTTGGAGTTCTGTACTTGTGTTTGCAAGTGAATCCAAGCGTTCCCTTGCTGGCCTGGCATACTCACAAGAGGAGGACAACAAAAGGCCTCGTCCAGTAGTTTTATCATTGGCGCCGCCAAGGTTTCACTGCCACCAAGGCCAGCAAGCCCAATTTCCGTCCAGCTCTCGCCTAAAGAGATTGCAGGATTTTGCAACTTCTACCACATTCTGTTCATCATTTGGTTTTACTGTTACTTTGAAAGATTGAATCAGCAACTCACCACAGCTGAGAACAGTTTGAACCAGCTACGTTCTGGCACATAAGAAAATTGGTATGCTATTCAGATGATTGAGCAACTGAAACTAAGCTTTTCACCAAGGCAAGAACAAATAAAAAATGAAATAAAATTACCAGTCCTTCCCCCTGGGTCAAGCAGATAAATTCTAATTGCTGACCCACTGCATCGGCCAGTCCCGGGTGCTTCCTGGCCTGAGTGGCATGACACAAGATCAGATCACCCGAAAGAACACAAAACCTGAGGAGTTACCTGCTAATTTCCAGAGCTTTCTCATGGAACCCAAGGAGAGCCTCTTCCCGCAATAGTCCACTTTCTTTTTTTATTGAAACGACCAAGGAAACAAACAGCCTGTCAAACACACTTGAGGAGAGTTACTTACCTCCTAAACCTGATCAGCTGCTGATGGTGAAACGTATCACCTGGCTCTTTTCAATCTTGGCATATGCAACTCACTGTCCTTGGCAAATAAAAAGGTTCTGCAGGATGCTTGTCAGTGCTCTGGTATGGAGCGCTGAGCTTGTTGACCACATGCAAACCAGCCAGTTCTCGCCTCTCTAGGATGTTCCTTTTGACAGAAGAATAGTACGCAATGGCCAGCTCAATCCAGGGCATTGGAATTTGAAGACATCGCACAAGAACAAACAATGGAGGCTGAAGTAGAATCCAGAAAAGCTTACCTTCCATATACCAACTTATAGCATGGAAGGAGCCAAATTGTGACACACACACACATAGAGAGAGAGAGAGAGAGAGAGAGAGAGAGAGAGAGAGAGAGAGAGAGCTTGCAGCTCACAATCTGCCCTAAAAATTTCCTTGATTTGGAATGTCATTAAAATCACATTGAAGCGTTACCACCCCTTTGGCACTTGATCTATGCTGTCTATTTGAAGTTTTTGAATTTAAACCGTTAGATTATAAGCATATTCAGAAATAATATTCTAAAAATGGAATAAAAGACACCGGATGCCATATGCCAATATATGATTTTTTTAATTTTTGACTTCTTTAACTTAAGCATTTTTATAAACCCAATGCCATACTTTTGTGTTATTGGTGGTAATTTGTAACTCTTTACTTCATGCCAACAATTATGCCACGATCTACCCACGTCTGCCTTAACTGGCACTTGTTGGTGATTGCACATAGGTGCATCTTTTTTTTACACATCTGCAGATATATTTTTTTTGTTTTCAATTACATATAAAAACATAATGCATACAATCATATTTAAATTGCTTAAAAAAAATCTAAATGCCATGACATCTAGAATGCCATGCAAACATAATGCCATATCATCTTAGACAATATGATGTCACTGCAATATAGTAAAGTTTTTTTTGTCATTCTTGTCTTTTTCCACTTTGATTTGTGATCTCTTGACTGTGAATTTTCTCTTTGTGCTTGTTAAGCCTTAGTCTTGTGCAAGAGTACTCACATTTCTCATGCAATAGTGTTTGCACTTCCCACACAAGAGCACTCCCCCTTAGCAGCTTGGAGGTTTAGAGCATGGCACTATAGTCACGCCCTAATATAGGCTGAACAATGCTTCAAGCATTGCATATAGTGGGGTGAGAGTGAACAATTGGAATATGTGACAGTTGTGGTAAAGGCATTAAGCAATGGTGCAAAGCCTTTTTTGAAGTTGGCTTCATCATGCTTCAAGTGTTGAGCATATTGGTTTTGTTGTGAGTAAGTGGATCATATGGAAGCTGCTTTAAAGCATTAGCTTGGCATTGTATAATTTGTTACACTTGTATATTAATTTGATAAAATAAAAAATAAATTTATAAATAAATAAATATATTTTTCAATATCTTTAATACAGTTGTTAAAAGTAAGACTATTTTGGTTTGCTTTAAATTGATAATAAAAAACTTAAAGTTCTAAAATAATTAGAAATATGGAATATTAACATCCTTAAGCTTCTAAACATAACTCTAAATTCTTAAGCGGGGCTTAGCATCACCTTAATAGAATATAAAAAGAATAGAACGATTGAGAGAAACCTTTGGTTTTTGCTACAAAGAGGAAAACAGAAAGCTGAGTGTGTTTCTCAGAAGCTGGAATGAAAATGACTAGAGGTGTTTGGTTATCGTTTTTATTGGCCACTACTTCACCTTTAGTTTTCTTACTGTGAGTTCCCTATAGAAAATCATCAAAAAGAATTAAGAAAACTAAAGAAGGAACATCTCTATCTGTTAGAATATTGTGATGCACATCGTAATAGTCTTGCTCACATCTCTCATCTCTTCTAGAATGAAAATGGATTACACTATGCATGGACTGAGAAATGTCCTGCAAGAAGAAAGCAAATTAGTGTCAAACCATCACCTTAAAATCCACGCTTCACTGAGTCTCTAGAAGGACTAGTTCCTAGCATCAAAACAAAAGTCCTCATTACACACAGACAAGATGACTTTGACGGCTTCATCATACTAAAAGAAAACGTTGGAGACGACTTCACAGGAAGCAAATCACGCGGACAGCAAGAGTAAAATATGAAATAGAAAGGAAAAGAACACCGTGTATAACCTGATTGGGAAAAATTGTGCACGATTCACGACGAGGTCATCAAAAGGACCCTGCCTCCCCTTCTCCGGCTATAAAATACCTGCCCCTCTCTTCAGAGCTTCATCAGTTTCTTTCCAAGCTCGCAATATGGCTCATCTTCGTTTTGTTCTACCTTTCCTTCTAGCAATCAGCTCCATCCTGTTTGTGCATGCAGCCGATGAGGATATGCTGCAGGACTTTTGCGTTGCAGATAATGGCTCCAAGGTCAAGGTGAACGGCGTTGTCTGCAAGGCGGCCGACGATGTGAAACCCGAGGACTTCAAGTCGAGCCTCCTGGCAACTCCCGGGAACACCTACAACAAGCTCGGTTCCAACGTCACCCTGGCGAGTGTCAACAATTTCCCCGGTCTCAACACCTTTGGTGTTGCTTTTGCCCGCATCGACTACGCTCCCGGCGGCACCAATCCCCCCCACGTCCATCCCCGAGGAACCGAGCTGCTCTTCCTCCTGCGCGGAACCCTCTACGTCGGATTCGTCACCACCTTGCCGGAAAACAAGCTCTTCGCCCAAAAGCTCAATCCAGGGGATCTTTTCGTCTTCCCCCGGGGACTCATCCACTTCCAGCTCAATGTGGGACAGGAGCCTGCGGTTGCGCTCGCTGGCTTCAACAGCCAGAACCCTGGGGCGTCTCAGGTGGCCAGGGCGGTGTTTGATTCTAATCCTTCCATCAACGACGACGTGATCGCCAAGGCGTTCCAGATTGATGACCGTGCTCTCATCCAGAAGCTGAGAGAGCTCATCGGCATGACTTGAAAGTTTCTTTGCAAAGCGATAGTGGAATCTTTCGTAAGCATAATATAAAAAACGCAATCTTTATTTCAGCACGGCACTTGTAAATTTTATTTGTTTGACCATCTCCGTCCTCTTTGACTTTCATTAACATACAAGTTTAGTGTTGCCACCGCCACAATTTTCCTCACTAAAACACTTCTGAGCCAGAAGTTCTATCTATGAATTTACTTGGGTTCCCGCCATAGCTCAGTCTGATAGTCAGACTCCCAAATGACAATGTAGCCACCATCTGTGACAGAGAGGCTGGCAGTAATCACACAATCTGGCTGATTTGGGCAATACCTATCAGAAGCAAACAGAACTCTCGTACCAGTAGAATCAACTAGTACTAGATTTCCATCCATTTGGAGATTGATGTAACAACCCTTGGCCTTCTCAAACGTGTCACTTGCCCACACTACCTTATTCACGTCCCGATAAAAATCATAGAGAACAAAGTTACAGTCTTGTTGCATGATCGCCTTGTATCTTCCACTGGGAGATACAAGCGTGGCATAGTTGCCAATGTATGATCCTATTGCAGCATCGGCTCCTCCAATCATGTTGGATCGAAAAGGCCAGCAGTTCTCCCAGTCGGGATCCGTGGTAATCTCAAAGAGAGTGCGGTTAAAATCACGGGAATGGTCAAACACTACCTGATCTTTTTCATGGTCTTGCTCTGTGAATCTGAGAGACAAAGAAGCCAAACTCTCTGGCCTTCCATACCAAGATACATAGTCAATGGCAAAAATCTTCCACACGCAGAGAATTCGGCCATAGCCTCTGCTCTCAATCTCTCGTGAAGCCGCGCTATAGAAACCCAGGAACGCATTCACTAGGGCCTGGGAATCTATGACCTGTGAAGAATCTGGTGTGACATAGCACATTCCATCGTTCCCGCGTACGCTAAACAGCCACAGCCTTACACTCACCTTTAGATTTTCTGTAGCCATGAATGTGGACGTGAAACTTCTTCCATAGGTGTAATACCTCTCCCTTGAGATTGATCGGATAGTCTTTAGAATCGCCCTCGAGATCACGCGAGCATCTCCAGATTTTAACCTCCATGGGTGCTGTCTCGCTTGAAACACTGGATCTGCTTCAATAGGATTGTAGAAATCAATGTTGCCAAACAAGAAAACAATGAGGATGAGCCTAGCAATCATGTCCATGTTGGGAAACAAGAAAACAATGAGGAAGAGCCTAGCGATCATGTCCAAGGCTAGAACCCTTTGTAGCGAATGAGTCTCTTATTGACTAGCAAGTCAGTCTTTTGACTGTCCAATCGAGCATTGATATATACAAAAGCGATACATCATACACAGATGTCGCTATCCCCGACAGCCAATAGCTACGTTTGTCGCCTTGTCGGATGCCGCCGCCATCGCCTTGTCCAGGGCAAGCTTCCTTTCTCCAGCGTCTCCGCCCTCCACAACACCAAACGTAGACACCTCCACGAAGTCACCACCATCGTCTTCCACCGTAGCGTGAGCTTCAGCTCGAGCACCAATCTGTCCATTCGATCCCGAGATCACGGCAGCGATGAATTCTCCCTGGCGGTGTCCATGACTCTGGCCGCGCTGCTCTTCCTGGCGGTGCTTCGTGAAAGAAATCTCTACGTGACTGCGCTGGTACTCGTCGTACTCGGCCGGGGTTGGGATCACCACGTAGTCATTGATGGGGTTGTAGAACGGGTCCGGTTCTCCGGCCTTTAGCCAATGCTTGACAACACGGAAGAGCCTCTCCTCGAGAAGAATCCCTCGGTGATCGCCTGGGATTCCCACTCTTGCGACCGCGTCAAGTAAGTCCGCCTACGTTCGTCAAGGATTGTGAGCTGGCGAGCTAAGATGATTTGTTCCTATCACCAACCTTTGCGGACTCCACAGGTACCGTTCCATCGCCATCCACAAACGTGAAAGTTGCCTACGTCAAGCAAGCACGAAGTGAGACCAAGTCCACAATTTTACTAGCACACACACCTCAGTTTTTAAGATGTGGCTTAAATTTTCGATAGGACAGTCGGAGCTGCCATAGCTGCAACGAAAAACGTTACCAGACATCGAATGGTGTGTCTTGTGAAGTGCCATATATGTTGTAGAAAAGAACTCCCTTTGGAAGCTTTGCATCCTTCAGGAGCTCCCTGGTTTTGTTGGACCATTCAAGGATGTCGTAGTTGAAGGGGCAAGGTAGGACTTCACCGTTGAAATGCAGCGTATTGTCTTTCAAGGCGTCTGCCATCACTTCCACACAGCTATACGGCCTGTTAAATACCGCTTTCTCGACGGAACAAGAGCCATTCGAAGTCTCGCATTTACGCCAGACATGAAGTTCAGGCGGTCGGTTCCACTTGAAATCGGGAGGCGACATCAGCTCGTAAAGCGAGGGACACTCAATCAACTGCAGTCATTGTAATGAAAAAAACAGCCCTTGAAAGAAAAGAGAAGTATACCAGCTGGTGAGTGCTCCATTTCGCAACGAATAGTTCCTTCTGCCACCCCTTTAGAAACTCGACTCCGGTTAACAGACAGTCTGTGACAAAACCAGGTGCACCTACGGAGACGAAGTCAAGAATGCCAAGACAATAGTTTTTACCTTGCCAGGGAGCAGTGATCGCAATCCACGTATCGACATGTTTTTCGAAGAACTAGCAATACAAACTTGAGAGGACGAATTTAAAACAAAGCAATAAACACAAACCTCGTGATTGAGAGCAAGAAAGCACTTAACGAGCAGGCCACCCATGGAATGCGACACAATCTTCACCTTTTTACCTCCAGCGTGCTTGTACATCTTTTCAATCTTCTTTCTGAAAGCATCCATAATTTCCGGAAGCCTGCCAGAGCAAAAGTCACAAAGGGAAAGCGATTCAAAAGCTGATTTTGAGACCTGTTGCTTTGCCGAAAGTCATAACCAAATCCAAACACTTGCTCGTAGCCCCAGCTCAACATCTTCTCAATCAAATCGTGGAAATAGTAGACGACATTCATTCTGATGATCTGGAGGAATAAAAAATGTCAAGACAAGAAAATGTCAAGAGAGATTCCTACCACATCAGGATCCAAGATGTCGCAACTATAAATCCCGTGCTCATCTTGAGGCACTTCGATACGAATTTTCTCATTCAGGGACACGGTCCTTCCTGTAAGTAGTGCAAAAAATCAAACAGCTAGAAAGAGCTAGAAAGGGGCAAAGAGAAAAAAACAAACACACCACACTCACCAGTCTTAGGGTCGAATTTGGAGTAGAGCTTCTCCCGGAATTCGACATCAGCAGCGAAGAGCCGGACCCAAACACGCTCGGTGGTGCCATCCTCGTACACGGCATTGAGAATGGAGCCCCCAATTCCAGGCACCAGCAGCACCGGATTCAAATCCTTATCCACATACCGGCGCTGCCGCTCCCTGAGGATCCATCCCTCGACCTTGTGGATCAAATCCGCGATATTGACGAACATCCTCGCAGCTAGAGGGAAGCGCCGATCATCCCCTCTCCTCCCCTTAAGTTCACGTTAGGGCTTTTGACAAAAAGATCCCAGGAATATCCGTTATGCTGATTTGGGTGATTTTGCCCTAAAAACAGGTTTTAGGGCTCTTGAGCAAATGCTTTCGGGTAGCGGCAGTGGCATAGGATTTTGTGCGCGGAAAAAGCAGTGACAGGGAGTGATTGAACAAGCGCTATTTCTACACACGTTGCGATTGTCAGAGTTGCCTTTGGAGGAGAAAAGGCACGTCGAAATCGAGGCTGGCCGATGTAACACTCTATCTTGCGACAGTGTAGCACGGAAGAAAAAGGCAAGGAAGCGGCAAAAGAGACGCAATGGTGGAACATGGGAAGTGGGACTGGTTGCGAGAAACTTACAAGGTTTTGGTGTAGCATCCCAATCTGTGCAATGGAGGTGGTGTCAGGTATGCTCGAAGGGATGTCAGGGAAATATGGTGGCTGTGGTCCCTGGTTGCTGGGATGGATTTCTGAGAGGATAGGATTCCTAGAAGAATGTGGCAACGGAATTCGGTGGCATTTAAACTCGAGGCTTCTCAAGAACTCTGTCCGAGAACTCTCGAGCAGCAGCAGCATCAAAGCTTTGGAAGTTTGCCATGGCCTTTGGATCGCGTCAGTACGCGGCTTTTGCGTTGCTCCTCTCGCTCGCCATCCAAGCTGCTGCTCGGCAGTCGTATCAGCAAGCTTGCCGCGAGTCGGATGCCGGCGATCCAGAGTTTTGCATAAGCACTCTGGCCAAGTATGGTTTGGAGGGGATGGATGTTGCGAGGGGCGCTCCAGGCCGGTTCGAGCTCATCTCCTCGGCTCTCAGGGCTTCTCTCGATGGTGTACACGAGGAGATTCAGATGTGCCAGAGCTACGGAGGAGGGACGACTACTTCCAGTGCTCTTACTTCCTCCGACGACGGTGAATTGGCCAGCAGTAAGTTCCGCAAGGTGGCCATAGACGACTGCGTGGAGCTGCTCACTGATGCGTCGGAGATGATCGGAGACTCCATGGGGAGCTCTCTCAGGAACGCCAGCACCTCGAGGCTCAACGACGTTCATACGTGGGTCAGCTCGGCCCTCGCGTACCAGACGACATGCTTGGACGGCTTGAGCCAGATCTCTCCCGGACAGGACGTGGTGTTTCAGCTGAGCCAAGAAGGAAGTAAAGTTGGGAGGAGGATAAGCACTGCTCTCGCGTTTATAGCAACTTTGCAATCGATCTCGCCGACCCGCGGCACAATTAACGACGTTAGCTGGGTGCCAGAGCTTCTAAAAAAGAAACACAAGAAGGCCGTCACTGCGAATGTGATCGTTGCTCAGGACGGAAGTGGACGATACTCGACAATCAAGCAGGCCGTGGAGGCTGCTCCCAGCAAGAGTGGCAGTACCTACGTGATTTACATCAAGGCCGGGACTTACAGGGAGACAGTTTCGGTGCCAAAATCCAAGACCAATCTCATGTTTGTTGGCGACGGGATTGGGAAGACCATCATCACGGGTTCCAAAAGCGTTAGCGATGGAGTCACGACATTCAGGACATCTACTGTCGGTCAGTATCGATGTTTTTCCTTTCTCGCTTTTGTTTGGTAGGACACTTCACAAGTTGGTTCTTTTCAGAGATAAACGCGAGAGGATTCCTTGCCAGAGACTTGACAATCCGAAACACTGCCGGGGCCGCCAAGCACCAAGCGGTGGCTCTTCGCGTCAGCGCTGACAAGGTCGCGTTTTACAAGTGCTCCTTCGAAGGCTACCAGGACACGCTCTACACTCACGTCGCGCGCCAGTTCTATCGCGAGTGTATCGTCTACGGAACCGTCGACTTCATCTTTGGCGACGCCGCGGCCGTGTTCCAGAGCTGCACGCTTCTGGCTCGCAAGCCGATGGCGAAGCAGAAGAACACGATCACCGCCCAGGGACGCACGGATCCAAACCAAAACACCGGCCTCAGCTTCCAGGACTGTAGCGTTGACGGCACTCAGGATCTCAAGGGCAGTGGAACTCCAACCTATCTAGGCCGGCCATGGAAGAAGTATTCCAGGACAGTGTTCTTGCGGTGCTACATGGGGAGCGTGGTGAATCCGGCCGGGTGGCTCGAGTGGGATGGAAGCTTTGCGCTCAAGACGCTCTACTATGCCGAGTATCAGAGCAAAGGGCCGGGATCTGGGACCGGGAATAGAGTTGGCTGGTCGTCACAGATGAGCTCGTCTGTGGTGGCTAATAAATTCACTGCTGGAAGCTTCATCTCTGGGTCGGATTGGCTTGGACAGACTAGTTTTCCCTACTCGCTTGGGATATAGAAAATCAGGTACGTCATAGTTCTACGTGATAGTGTTCCAGAAGAAGTGTGAATTGACGGTTGATTTTGAAACAAATAAATTACGACTACTTCAAGAAGTCAATGAAAGTCAAATTAAGTCAATGAAAGTGTTGACTTTGCAGAAAATGCACTGGGATCGGAGCTTGAATTCTTCCAGGGATGAAGAACAGCAGTTACATCCTCCCCACTGGACTTATAGAGCGTGACTGTAACTGAGACAAGAGCTCCTGCCTTTGAAAGTAACAAAAGTAGCCGAATCAAAACAAAATACAGATGGAGAGATCTCGATCGTTGTACAATTGGATCTACTTACGTTACGGCCCAAGCCGATGGAATGAAGCAATCTGTCACTTCATGAAATCGAAGTGCATGAGCGGAGGTACCATAACGGAAACGTTTGTGAAACGAAAGCATTTGGAGTTCTAGCAGTGGCTCCAAATGCCGGACATTAACAACTTTCCCGAAGGAAACCAGGAATGAAAATCAAAGAACCTCATCTTTATTTGCTAAAAGTCTACCGGAGGCGATAGCTCAATGGAAAAGGGCAGAATAAGTTACTGGATGGGGGCATTGCGAGAATCGAACTCGCGGCCTCTCGCACCCAAAGCGAGAATCATACCACTAGACCAAATGCCCATTACATTCGTGATAAGTGCAAGAACGACATCGGAGCTTGCAGCCGAGCCAATTTCATAATTTGGTAGACTAAAACTGGATTTATTTTCCTCGACCGGAGAGCGGAAGCTGAGACAAAATTCTCCTGAAAGGCATCTGTACCAAAAGGAAACAAGAGATTCGGAGTTACACGCCATCGTTGTACATCAGCAAGGTGACATGCCTTGGAGAGGATCTCAAAATCTTGAGATTCCACTTTGCCGTACATTTGGATCTACTTGCGTTAAAGAAATGGGAAGCTGTTCAAAGGAATGAACCGGCCAGTCGCTTCATAAGTTGCAGAATCCGAAGTGCATGCTCGAGAACGGAGGTACTATAGAGACTGTCAACCAGCTCAGCACCAGACGCAGCTCGTTAACATTGCCGGACATGAGTTGATATTGATATCAGCACCAGTGATTATCGACCTTTTCTATTTTCTAGCTTGTGACATGCGCCAAGTGGGACACTTGACAACGGAACCTGAAACAGCGACTGATTGGTTTCGTGAATCTGGATTTGACAATCAAAGAAGGTTTCCACTTACGCCACCCTGATCGAAGGTCTCGCCTTTTCTCTTCGTGTCTCGGGTGATGAGGTAGATGTTTATACATCCGGTTGTGTCCAATAAGAAGTAGCGAAGAAGAAACATCTGGGGCCATCGTTGGGCAAAGCTAGAGAACACGAGAACGTAAGTGTGTAACCAATGAATAAAAGAACACTGACCTGAAGTTGATCACTTTGGCTGTGAGGTGTTTTCATCCACATTGCATAAGCTTGCAGCATTCCTCATTGCTCACCGAAGCTCAGATTCCTTTGCTGCGATTTTGAAGAAATCTTGCTTGTAAACAATAAGGGCTGGAAAATGTGTTTTTTTTATAGGTTTTTGTGTTATTTTTGTCTTATCTAATAAATATAATTGATAGAGAAATAAATTACTAGCACCTTTCTTTTTTTATAAATTACAAATTTAATTTAAAAATATATTCAATTTTTTTCCTTTACCTAGGAGTGTTCAATGTGGAGAACTCTTGGAGTACGCTTTGGGTTCTCAAACCCCTCGAGGAGCTGTCATAAACACAATTCCACCATGCCAGCAGCAGCAGCACGGAGAATGGATGGAAGGCTCGTAGCTCAGGAAATCAAGGATGATATCGCAGAGACGATAAGAACTGGCGGCGCCGAGGTGGGTTTCGCGAGGCCTGGATTGGCAGTGCTTCAGGTGGGAGATAGCCCTCAATCGCAAGCTTACATTCATAACTTACGAACAGCGTGCACAGAAGTTGGAATCAAATCCTTCGCTTCGCAGCTGCCCGAAACAGCGACGCTCCAGGCGATCATACAGGCGCTTCGAACGTTCAATGGAGACGAGAGCGTTCATGGCATCGTCGTCCAGCTCCCACTGCCAAAGGTAAGAAATCACCCACGACTTGGCTCTTCATCGTTACTTGCCTCACTGTTTCAGAAGATCCGGCCGGAAACCGTGCTCCAAGAGATAAGTCTCGAGAAAGATGTGGATGGCCTCCATCCCCTCAACTTGGCTAAGCTGGCTCTCGATGATTTCCAGCCAAGTTTCGTGCCATGCACCTCGCGAGCTTGCCTGGAGCTTCTTACTCGATACAAGTTCCAAGTCGAGAGGAGGAAAGTGGTGGTCATTGGTTGTAGCAACGCCGTCGGCCTTCCAACAGCGCTACTCCTCGAGAGACACAATGCCACTGTCACAATCGTGGATAAGCATACGCCAAAACCAGCAGAGATTGCTCGGACTGCTGATATCCTGGTTGCTGCCACAGGAAACGCAAATCTTGTGAGAAGAAACTGGATCAAACCCGGAGCTGTCGTTATAGACATAGGAATGAACCAAGTAAAGGTGAAGGTGTCCTCTTCTTACTTGTAGAGCTTGACTTTTTATCTCCAGGATCCTAGCTCGGAAGAAGGATTCCGATTCGTAGGAGACGTTTGTTACGAGGAGGCTGAGAATGTAGCGACCGCGATCACGCCTGTTCCTGGTGGAGTCGGCCCGATCACCATTGCAATGGTGCTCTCGAACACACTCCTTGCAGCGCAGCGTAGAGACCATGCAAAGAGGAAACCTCTATAAAACATCATTGCAAAAGTATCAGGAACTAAAGCTCCATGTATCGGACGTAAAAAGGAAGAACAAAAAAAATCATATACTCAAGAACGCTCGGTTTCATGTCACGTTGAGAGATGATCCGTTGTCCGCTGCTGTCAATGCGAGTATAAGCGTCGCAGCAGCGGGAGCCCTGTTACATTACAAGCGTAAGTTGTAAGTAAGAAGCTTGAAAAAGGAAATTTGAGTAACACTCACCATGTTTCCGGGGTCTGGTACATCGCTGCCGAAGTTCCAAAACATGTCGTTAGCATGTCTGTGCAGATCACTCCTGGATTAAGAGCCACAGCTGCTATTCCAGGAGGTAGCTCTTTAGCCAGCGAGCGAGTAAGTCCTTCCATCGCCCACTTTGAAGCACAGTATGGAGATACCTGTGACAAAAGCTCGAGCTTAGCGAGAGAAAAGAAGAAAAATCGCTCGGGAGAGCTTATACCTCGGCAGCTGCTGATCGACCCCATCCAGATGAGAAGTTTACAATCACTCCTTGCTTCTTGGACATCATGTGAGGCACGAAATGGCGGAGGCAATTCGCAGGACCTTTGATATTGACATCGATGACGTTGTCAAATTCTTCCCTGGCAACCTCCCACAGTTTCCCATTGCTGTTGATCACACCTGCATTATTAACTGGTATGCAACGCTGCAATGAGAAAATCATGCTTCCTTTCAGGAAGAGACGAAAGAAGAAAGAAAAAAAAAGAAGGGAAGTTTGTGTTCTTACCAAGAATATCGGGAGCTCCTTTGAGCTCGATCACAGCTCTAGCAAACTCCTGAACGTTGCTATCTGAAGCCTAGAAAACAAGAAAAAATAAAAAATCGTCAAGAACATAGACAAAAAAGAAAAGAGAAAGACTTACAACGTCCACAGCTCTAAGAATGTGCTTGCTATCGCCCAGTTGATTCTGCAAAGAGGTGAGCTTCTCCTCGTCACGCCCACACCCTATAATCGTGTGACCCCTGGAAGCAATCTCCAGCGCCAGAGCTCGCCCGAGTCCTCTCGTCACGCCAGTGATCAACACTGTCCGCGCTGTGCAATCGATCGAGCAAACCATCAATGCCTGGGGAGGAAAGAACGATCAAAAGAGCACCGGCTTGAGGAGCTCCCGCCGCACCTGCAGGCGTCCCGGGGCTCACCAGCATCGCCGTGTTCTTCGACATGAGCCCTAACCCTAAAAAACACTTTGCCCTAAAAAACTCTTAAACCTTAAACCCTTAATACCCTAAGAAAGAGAAGAAGTGCAAGGGTCTTTGGCAGCCAGCCGAGCAGCCAGCCAAGCCACCCGGGTAAAAAACAGTCAGAATTTACGGCCCGCCATATTTTTTACACTGGCATGTTCTTACAATCATTGACTGCGCCACCCCCCTTGCTCCTTTGCAATGCCGCCCCAGAGAAAGACCAGATGTTTTTTTCAAAGATCTCGAGACCGGACGGGGCGCTGTAAGGCCGAGTAAACAACTTAGGACCGCCAACTTTGTATGAAAAAAATTGGAAAGGGGTTTTCACATGTGCCAAGTTGAGGCTCAAAAGAGGGATCCTGGGGTTTTAACTTTTTACCAGGGAGTGTTTCTCTATTCGTGCAAAGGCCAATATGCATTGATGCCCAAGATCGTGCATGTCTCTTTTTGATGGCGAGGGGGCCAGAGAGGAGCCCTAATTAGTGGAAAGGTTTTTAACCTTATCAGATCGAGACGTATCCGCCCTGCCGCTAACAAATTTCCCACTCCAAGGACGCCTTTAAGGCCCCCCTCCGCGCAGCGAGCGAGGAGTAACAGAGAACTTACAGCGATCAGATATAAAAGAATCGCAACAATCACCCTGTGATGGGAACCCTCTGAGTAAAGAATGGAGATTCACCCCCACTGGGTTAATTGTTTTAATCCTTGCTGGGGGGATTTAACTATGCCGGTCAATCGCCCAGTTAGCAGTCCAAGATGGAAGAATGCCCGACAAGAAATCTAACCGAGAACAAACCTCATCTCCCCTTTTTTCCTTGTTAAATCAAATCCCCGCCCCTTGCAAAAGTCTCCACATTATAATCTTTTTGGCTTGGCTTGGCATGGCAGGCACCCACAAAAGAAGCGCTGTCTCTTTCGCATTACAGTATACCCCTCCTTCTCTATCAGACCTAAAATTAAATGGTGGCGAGCAAGAATTTCTTCCACCCGCCCTGCGCGCTTGCTTGCTTGCCAGCCCGGCCAGCATTTGCTCGCCCTGAACTCGATCCCGTGACCGGGTCATGTAGTTTGTCGCTGTCACCCAACTTACAGTGTTTAAACCCCCTCCTCCTTTTTACCTTTGCTCCTCCCTGGGCACCGCTTTTACAAGCAAACCACAATAAAGCTGGAGATGGGGGAATCTTGGAGCGTATAATATTAGCGGGGTCTCCAAAAGAAGCAAAAAAAAGCCCGTAAACCCAAAACCTTTGAGCCGTGATTTGTCCCCCCATGTGAGTAGCAACAGCAAATCCCCGCCCGGGTTTGGCGGGAATCGACCCCGCGGAGTGTCAAGAGATTCCGGGAATCAAACCCGAGAAGCCCAGATATTCTCTCGCATCAAAAGCTTGTGTGTGTATTTTGGTACGTGGAGGTTTCGATCACGACGACGAGCAACGCCTCCCACACTTACACACAGCTCACCACCACACTGGTTGAAAGTGTTTGGTGTAAAGTCTGTGAAGAAACACCAAGAAACACGTGGTAATAGTAAAATCGCCAAGGGAAAATAACATCCGTGACTTGCAATTGGAAGAACCCTTTTGGACTGGCGCTCACAAACTCCTTTCACCAGCTGGGTGAATATCCCCTCAAGGCTAGTAGCGATACAAATATCTCGCCAGTATTTCTATACACCAAGGGTAAATAACAAACTAGCTACCAGAGGGAGTGAGACCTTTCCAGCGCAGGCAAACAGGTAAAAAAACAAAAGATCACAGGAGCCAGGTAAGTAGCCTGGTCAAACTTGACCACCCACACATATGGTGACAGGTGTCGCCAGCCCAAATGGCCGAGCCGCTAGCAGTCAGAGGCGCAGGGGGTTTAAATAGGGCATTCTTTCCGCTAAAACAGTAAACAGTAAAAAAATGGTGGCTAACAGCTAAACGGAAAACGGAAAGAGTGGCCGTGTTATGATGGCCACCCGCTAAAATCTATCATGGAGATTCACATTCCCGCTATACATAATACATTCTTGTATTTAGCTTCGTCCCCTAATGTGGCAATTAATTAGGTCTAATTGATGCGGGTGTTTGTTTTTGGTTCTGGAACGTTCGCCCTCTCGCGCGGCGCGAGCCATGTCACCGTCTATACGGTACGGCCGCGTGCCTATTACGGTCCTCGCATGGTGAAAACCCATAATTCCCCTTACTATTTTCAACTTTTACACCGTAGAGCCGAGTGGTGTGGCATTGGCCAGTGGCAATATACGTAGTAGTAGTGGCAGGTATAGTAACAGGGGAGTAAAAACTACGCAAATCTCATTATCGCAATCTACATTTTCCGAAAATGTGGCGGACGTGAAATTGCCGCTCAAATTCAGTTCACTCGTCTCAAAGTCTTCCATTTGTTTTGTAGAGAGGCCTTTTTTTGCTTTGTGTGAGAGCTCTTTAGGTGTGAGAGCTCTTTAGGCCTAGAGTGTATTCTTCGAGGGCGAGAGTGAGAGAGAGATCGAGGGCGAGAGAGAGCGAGAGAGTGAAGCGCTGGCTATGGCGGACCGAGGCGGCGGATCGCCTCCATCGTGGCGCCTATGAATCGATCCGCCGATCTTTCATCGCGCCAGCAGCGAAATATCGCGATTGCCGCTTGCTCGACCTTTCCTCGGCGCTGCGCCATGGCGATCCAATAATCAGGGCGCGAGGTCGCGGCAAGGCGGTGCGCTATCGATGGATTTTGGCGATGTGCTGTTTTGCAACGAGGAGATTCTCGGCAGCCCTTGCGAGGGCAACAATGCCGCTGTGGATTTCTCCGGCGACAACACATCGGATGAGCCAGTGCTCCTACATTTTGATGATGCCGTCCTCTTGTCGAGCATCGTCCAGCGCGAGTCCGGCCATCTCCCCGACGCGGGGTATTTCGCGGTCCTGAGGTCCGAGGATGTGATCTCTTCCGCTAGATCCAATGCCGTGTATTGGATGATGAAGGTGGAGCGTTCTTTCTTGCCGATTCATCCATCTCTTATGTTTGTTTCCTTTGATTTGATGCAGGTTCGCAATGTCTATAGCTTTAGCCCTCTCACGATAGCGCTCGCTGTCAACTATTTCGATAGATATCTCTCCAAGCAGCTATTGAGGGTAAGCACTGCCGGATCCATGCGCTTCTACATTCCTTTTTTGCTCATGGTGGTAACTTTGCAGACTTGGAAGGCATGGATGATTGAGCTCTTGACGGTGGCCTGTTTATCTCTTGCTGCTAAGATGGAAGAGCCCGATGTTCCAATGCTGCAAGATTTACAGGTGCAATGCCTGCCATGCCCCTCCCTTGCAATCTTGGCGATGTCTTGATTTTGGTAGATTGATCTGGGTTGAACTCGCAGATTGAAGGCCTAGACCATATCTTTGAGTCGAAAACAATCCAGAGAATGGAAATTGCCGTCATGAAATTGCTGGGCTGGAGGATGGGCTCTGTAACACCGTTCTCCTACATCGAGGGATTGCTCCAAAACCTGGATGTGAGCCGCAACATGAAGCTGTCGCTGTTGAATCGCACCAGTGAAGTGCTGGTGAAGATGCTGCCAGGTGAGCAAAACAGTCTCTTTTGCCACTATAGTTTCGGGTGAGCATATATATCTAAACTTTGATGTTTTGCAGAGATGGATTTTCTCGCGTTTCCACCCTCGGTGGTCTCACTCGCAGCCATGAGCTGTGCACTGGAAGAGCTGCTCCCTTTGCGGGCCGAAGCATTGAAGGGGAGCCTAGCCAAAATTCTCCCAACACCGCAGGTAAAGTCGCATTTTTTTTAAGTGAAAGTTTTTTTTGAGGTGTGACATTTATTGGTTTTGGTCAGGATCAACTTCGTCGATGTTATAGGTTGATGGAGGAGTTGGTGGTGGATCCGCTGTGCCCGCTTCTCTCCGTGAGTCAGGTTCTGGAAAACCGCAAGGCGTCGCCGAGCCCATACAGCAACGGCGAGGTCTCGCAGACGGGTGAGAGCTACCCGGATTGGGACGAATCCGGGAAAGCGCAGCATGCGTGCTCAAAGTCCGTGAAGCGGAAGCTGGACGAGTTTTTAAAGGCAGAGGGGTGACGGGGCACAGCAGGGCGAAAGGATTTGGCTCCCATTTTGCAGCGGAGGATTGTAGAAGGAAGCAGGACGTCCGGCGATGAGGAATTTAGATCACCCGAGTCTCCTGGGATTGCTGGACGGTAGAACATCTTCCTGTTTTTTTCCATCATGCTCGGGGTGTTCTGTGGTCCAACACTGCCCCTCTGCAACTTCTCAAGGAGAGACGAGGGGGTGGTGATATAGCAGACAGGCAACGAGGCAAATTTGCGGCAATGTACATTCAGTATGATATAGTCTGGAGTTAGGCGATGGTTTTTGGAGCAGGGCTTTGGTTTTCACACAGGGAGAGACACACAACACACAAACACAGATACAGAGACAAAAGACAACACACATTCCACCACTACGGTTTTCGTCTTTTCAAGGGCGGGCTTTTTTCTCCTCGGGGGCGGAGGATTTGGTCAGTATCGGAATGCTCGCTCCTCAGAAGTTTAAAGTTGACAACGGCGAGGAGGAAGTTATGGTATGTAAACTATCTATCAGCTAGAGCTACGACTACTACTACTACTGCTGCTGCTGCTGCTGCTACTAAGTGAGGTGGGATTTGCTACGCAAAGAGATGTCAACGAGCCAGTTGAGGGGTCCAGTGGCCGTGAAGATTGTCCCCGTTCCTTGGCCTTTATTGTTATGGTAGAGTGGCTTGTACCATGAACCGTCGAAAAAGGAGCTGCACTTGGAGGTGGGCTTTGATGGTTCTTTGATTGTGAAGAAAGAATTCACCCGAAGGGGTATAATCCATCCACCAGAGCGGGCTCTTGTTTGGTGTCCGGCCGCGGTCCATCCATCGTATCCTACCGTATCCTCGTTTGGTCGTAGGCTACCACCCTTCCTTTTCTTCGTTGCTCTTTAACTTTTGTTTGCGCGTGTTTGTTGCTTTCGTTTTGTTTCAGGTTA